CCTGGCAGTTCTCAATTTAACTGTAACTAACTCTAATAATTTACACTCTTCTTTCTCTAGCTATAAACTAAGTTTTATACCAAAGTAATCAGGAACTTTATATTGTTGTCCATAAATGCATAGTCAGGCATTACCAAGATTCTTACACTGTGAATATGATTCATACATAGAAATCTCTGCACTCAATAAGGGATCAGATTTTACATGGTCTTTACATATCTTAGGGATCTGTGTAGGTGCAGGTGTGCAGGAGGCAGCCAGGCTTGTGTCTGGGGGAGGACAGTAATCCCAACAACAGCAGCCGTTACCACAGGTGAGCTGGAGAAAAGCACTATCACGCTTTATTTTAGTATGCTACAAAATTCATTGTTGAACTTTATTAGGTACTTTAATACCAAGCATACTTTAAAGTAACAAAAATTATTGTTATTACTTTTTACAGAAAATCAGGTATTTCAACAGTTTTCTTTACAGTTTGTTGACTTAAAAAAAACCACTACAATTGACAAGTTACAATGGATTGGGATGTGAAAGGGGGAACATTTAAAACTATAAAACATACTATTCATACTGAGTCAACAATTAGTGATGGACATTCTGGTATGTCTCTCCTGACTGTGTACAGATGGTACATATTCACCACGCTGCCCTGGCAGGGTTGCGAGGTCTTGTGATGACACCTTTTTTGCAATGTTCGTATATATTTAGAAAGGGATTTTACATTAAACAGTCACCATGATGCAAAACTTGGTAAAACTTAGTAGTCCATAGCAAATTAACATAATACAGAGAAACCCTGTTTCAGTGATTCTGTCACAGCAGAAGTGCCATGACTGCAATAACGTGGGATAGAGGTAAATCTAAGGAGCAAATGAAGACAGTGATAAGATAGCAAATCCAAATAGTAAACCCTTCGGAATTTGGCTTTGGAGGTGAGAGTGCGGCTGTGAGCCAACAAGAGCAGTTGAATGAGGATGGGCTTTACTGAGACGCCATTTAACAGGGACTCCTAATGCATCCGGCCCTTAAGGATGTGCGTTTTCCAGCTGGCATTGGTTGGTCTAATCACTGATTTAAAAACTTGTCAGAAGTGGGACCTTAATGAGCTTATGCAGCCTTAGGTGTAAACTACTTCATTTTAACCTGCATCTCCTTCAAGTCAGCAGCAGGTACTGGGAATATGTTTATGGTGGTTGATTGATTTGGGTGGGGTTTTTTGGCCAGCTCTAATGCTGGTCCTGCAGGTGTCAGGAGAAGAGTCTCCTATGCGCTGTTACAAGAGCAGATTTGAATTAAAACAACTTAAAAACCCCGACAATGCTGCCAGATTCACACATAAATTTACTTGGCAGACATCCACATCAGTGTTTAGTCTCTAAGACAAGGAGCACCACGGGTACCTTGGTAGTCAGATGGAAGAGTTCTCTAATTCCCTGTGTTTATTGACTTAAGTTCACTTAAACTTAATTTCTCATTCAAAAATATTTTTTTCTGAGATTCATACACTAAATCCTGCAATAATCTCTACTGTGCAGCCAGTAGTTAAAACCCAGGTTTTTTACTCATGCCTTCAGTGTATTGTGTTATTTGGGATCAACATTAGCAATGAATTATTATTTTAGCCATTTCACCCAAAAGGGAAAGAATGAAGCAACAGGCTTAAGCAATCTAAAGATTTTTTAGCAATGGAGTGTTCATTTTGGGCTGTATTCAGCTTTGATATGCAGAAGAGGAGGGGAAAAATGCAGGGAGCAGCGTGTTCCTACCTGGTCGTGCGCCAGGAGAAGGCATGCCATGCTGAGACCTTTCAGAGAAGAGCAGAGGAAAGGGTGTTCCTGCTTCCCTCCACTGCTCTGTGCCTGATACTTGGCATCCAGGCCTTTCCCTGGGGTCTTTCTTGATACCCTGTGCCTCCCTTGTTTAACTGCTCAGTGGCTTCTGGCAATGATGGTGCCCTTTGAGAAGTGACCCACAGAGCCCCATGTGGAAGGAAGCATCACCCCACCAGTGTCGCAGAGCTCTGCACACCTGGCCCTCACACAGCTGTTTGCAACATGTATTTGCTTGCCAATCTTTTAATTCATGTATTGAGATTAAGGCCAAAAGGGACCATTGGATCACCTCACCTGACTGGCATTAGCATGGGCCACAGAATGTCACTCAGCGGTTATAGGAAAAGAATAGAAATGCCCTTGCAGTGAGCAGCTGTATGTTACATTTAAGGGGTAAATTACTTTCTCCTGTTAGAAAAAGAAATCAGTGCTTTTATTTTGTCACTTCAAATGCAAACAATTCTATGCGTCTTGGGAAATTATAGTATCATGATATTCAGACATACCTTATAGTATATATGCTTCACAGAACTAGAATATAGGTCAGAAATAATTTTTCAGTCTCAAGTTTGTTACAGACATAGATTAATTGGAACACATATGCAGTAAAAATTGAGAAGCTTTACAGTTTTAGTCAACTTATTATACAGTGAAGTAGATGAAGTGCAGCAATGCAGCAGTAAAAGTTATGCTTTTCCCTCTATGTGATGGAAACATTCAGAAAGTTTATTTATAAATGCTAATTTAAGAGAGATGTCCTATCTGCTTCTTGGCTACTGGGATAGGAATAGTCTGGAGTTAACTGCCTCTCTACTGTGAAAGGTTTTAAAGCTTTTTGCTTTCCGTCTGAATAAAAAAATGACATTTACAAACCTCTTCAATGCATATATATTACATATGTTTATCTAGCAACAACTACACCCCTTTTAATTTATTCCCCAAATGCGACTTTTCATGCATGTCTTCTGGATGCTGTATTCAGCAACAGTTTCTAATGAGCTGGTGTGTAATCCATGATTGCATTTCTCTTCTGAAAATCACTTCCACGTCTGGCTGATCTATATTTAGAAGGTGGTGCTCACCCATCAGGCATTTTTGCACTCATCAGCGTTCTTCTCTGTCGGAGGCCCTTTCCCAAGCTTCTTCCCATTTTAATGTTGATGTACAAAAGCTGTTATTCGTTTTGTTTTGTGCTCATTCTAGTGAGGATTGGCTTAGTAGGACTGTGCAAAACAGAGAGAAGAGAGAAGCTGTTTTACTGCCAGCAAACATAAAGATGTTCACGCTGTGCTTGGCTCAGGGCAAGCCTCTGATCAATATTTTAATAGACTTAATTATTTGCATTTCCATTTATCATGAAACGTGGCAAGTTTAATCTTCAGATATGACAAGGGTTTCTAAACTGGAATTCTTAAAAACCCGATTTTTATCAGCTTATCGACGGGGAGTCAAAATAAGGAGATTATTTAATCCGAAGTTTGAACAATATGAAAATAAATATGTAATGTGTATGGGGCAAGAATGACATTTGCTAGATGAATATCATGAATTGAGTTAAAATCCTGCCATTCCTGTTCTGTATCAGTAACTTCCTTCACTCCCCTGAGAACACAATCTCCATTCATAAACAAGGCAAAATAATCCCTTGTGTTGAATTCTGGAGGAGCATACTGCAGTGGGGACAGACGTATTTTCAACCCAAACTCTCCCTTCAAAACTAATTCCCATCCAGTTTCCATATACTGTAAACAGAGCTGTATATGCAGGAGAGCAGACAGGGGCTGCAGTGGCCCTGCAAACAGGGCGATGAAGGCTCCTCCCTCCTTACTGGAGGTTACTGCCCATATACTGGCACTGGAGACAGCTCTTCGGAACAGGGTCTTAATGAGAAAGTCTATTTGCAAGTACCCCCGTACATGTAAATATAAAATCCAATGCCAGCATCTGGCATTGAACAGAAGGTTCTTCTTGCACCAACAGAGCTCTGCAAGTTCATCATTCGCTAAACTCTCCTGCATCACTCAGACTAAACCGTGAAGTTATCTGGCAGGCAGCCACCCCATTGCCTTCTGTGAAAGGGTCACTGGCCACAGGTCCTACAAGCCTGGGGGAGAGGACAGCTACCTTCATCACAACCCCACTCCCATCATCGTAACACAGTGGACTCTGCAGGATACAGCTGGAATGCAAAACTCGGAGGGAACCACAACTTTTGTGAAAACAAAAAACAAAAGAATGAATTTCATTGTGAAATGACAGTGAACTGAGAGTTTCAGAACTAGAAACTCTTAAAAATGTTACTATAAGAAGACTGAAAGAAATATATCTGTCCCCCATTACATCATTATATGGAGTCGCCATTTTTTTCCCATTCCCACCAATCTCTCACACACCTTGACTCTCCTGATCAGCTTGCCCTACTGCCAATTCACCCACAGGCACCAGTGTGTATGACACTCCAGAGCAGGATACCCAACCTGAGAGCTCCGGTTGTGGTATCATGAACTGGTGAGACAGTCAATGGCTACCCCTTCAGCTGCAGACCCTGGTGCCTGCTTCCCCATCATCTTCCAACAAATTGACATTTATTTCAAGAAAAATTTGTTTTGGAGGAAAATTATAGCCCAAACTACCCAACATATGTGTGTAGTCCAGATATATTTACAAAGAAACTTTTAATTGATGTTGCTGAGACTAGAAAGTAACAAATAAACTGCAAAAAGCGTAAGTTGAGCTAAGAAGGGCCCTGCAGAAGAAAAATGGATCAGTTTTGCTTTTGTCAGAAAATGAATGTGAAATATAGTGCTCACTGTAGCAAAAACATTCTTATGATGCGAGTATGTAATGGGGATGGTAGTTTCCTACTGTAAAATAAAACTTGCTATTGAAAGCACCATGAGCTTTCCTTCTCCCTTTTAAACGTGTAGCAAAAATCAAGGATAAACAATGGATGAGAAATGCACACATTTGTGATAAATAAAATCTATTAAAAATGGTCTGGTTCAGGAATTTTGGTGTATTTTACTAATATGGTTACTAATATAATTAGTATGGTAATTATTAATACAGGTAAGTAGCACTACTAGATAAAAAAAAAAGAAAGAAAAGGTGCTTTAGGGTCCAATTTGTTTATCTGCTAAGTGAGATATGGGGTTTTATGAGCCCTTTAAACTGAAATCCAGGGAAAGCCAAAGTTGCATGATGAGGAGCATATGCCCTGATACTCCTAGGAACAATCTAAATTTAATAAAACTGAATAAACCATTTATTTCAATTATTTTTAATCACAGTTTCATGTACCTTTTCTGTTAGGGTGGTGAGGCACTGGAATAGGTTGCCCAAGGAGGTTGTGAATGCTCCATCCCTGGCAGTGTTCAAGGCCAGGTTGGACGAGGCCTTGGGTGATATGGTTTAGAGCGAGGTGTCCCTGCCCATGGCAGGGGGGTTGGAACTTGATGATCTTAAGGTCCTTTCCAACCCTAACTATTCTATGATTCTACCTGTGTTATTCAAATCCTTAACAGCACTTACTGGATTTCCAGCAGTGCTCAGTGTCTCAGTTGTAACATACTGAAACCTTTATTAGTTCTCCTGACAAATTTTGTGCACAAGTGTTATACAAAGGGAAAGGAAATTTAATAAATGCCAAAGGTGCCTAGTTGATAAGGCAGAAATAAGTAATTCACATCCAACACCCCTCAGTCTGCTTCATATCACATCATAGGCTTTTGACTCCTTGAAGTTTCCTTTCTTCGAGGTACTTACAACCCTTTTCTAGTGCTGTTGCCTAGAAATCAGCTAATGAAAGCAGCCTTCATGAAAGCCGTATTACCCAAACTACCCAGGTGCTCTGCTGTTAAATTCTCTATTTAAAGTCCTGACAGGCTGCCTGTTAGGCTCAAATCCTGACAACACTGTTATTATTCATATTTGACCCGTTCAACTCAAGCAGTCGCTTCTGTCGACTGCAGAGCTAGGGAAGAGTCAGCCTGGAGTGATTTGCACATTTTAGTGATTATGTACAGTTTCAGAGAGATGCCAATTATATTTCTTTGTTTTGAAGATTAATCATGTGGAAATGTCCAGGTTGCTCCCTGCCAAGGTATGAAGCACATACTGAATTTGAGACAGTCCCTTACATGCTGTTACTATGAAGGCAGTCAGGTAGATAGTAATCATACAGAAAAAGACAGACCTTCTAGGTCTGAATACATATTTTCTCCAACATTCTTAACACCTTACACCACTAATTGTCACCAGCCGTATTTATGTACTTTTCTTTGTCATTTATTTGAGTGGCATTTGGAAAATAGCACCTTTCCAAGAGTTAATCTTTTATTTCTGTCTCCAAACACACACAATTACTGAGCTAAAGAGCAACTGGCATTCATGGTCACACCAACATTGGTGCTATTGCAAAACCGCATCAGCTGGCAGAGGCCCATGGGCTAATGAAGGACCAGAGATTTCTTCCCAGCACCTCCACAGTATTCCTCTAGCCTAGAGTGCAACATTATCTCTCTTGAGTGCTGTCACTGTGTTTGGTGTACAGGAGGAGATGAAGAAGAGAAACATTACTGCGAAAAGTCTGCAATTGAAAGCAGACATGCTGAGGCACCTTGGATAACACTGCTGCCCAGGCAGTAGGCCAGAAAAATTTGGACATGTTCAGTTTTAATGAGGTGCTCGGAGTTCTTGCCTTTCTGCCTATGACCTGGCTCAGCTCCTTGTAACCACAGGTAGGTGGTTTTGTTGTTTACATCAGGGTTGGTGCAATGCTAAGTGTGTTAAAACTCCACTTGTAGTTACTGCACCCCGAAATTCAAATAGCAACATGCATACAGGGCCTGGGCGATATCCAGATGTGCGTAATAAAAGGCAGGAAAAGCAGACAAATGCCTAGCTGCATGGGGCAGCCAGTGTTGGATAGTCACATCTCTTTGAAGATATTCCATTTATAACACATAACAAAACCTATTTGAGTGGCCCAAGAGAATGATTTTGTTTTCCACGTGATGAGAGTGGAATAATGTGTATTCCCATTTGTCTTGTAAGTTTTTGCCTACCCGCCCTGGGTGCTTTTTCACTCCTGATGCACTGAGCATCCTTTGCCCTGGCCTCACTGGGGGGCTGCTTATGCATTGCTCAGAGAGCCACCCAGAGCAAACACTGTGCTATCAGTAAGCAGCCAGGCACCAACTTGGGTCCTCTCCACACTTGTAAGAGTCCTGGTGATCCAAGCTGAAACCCTAGCAAATGTTTTGGGGACGCTGTCCACAGATTGTCCTGGAAATAGCTGTGTAGCCAGGAGGTGAGGTTGTTACGCTCTCTGGTGCCTGCCCCTGACCTGCAGTTTAGACTCAGTGAGGGGGGAACATGGCTGCCCTATGAAGATGGAAGGAAGAACGGACAGAAATTCCCCACCTGTTTTGCTAGCAGCCCTATTTCAGTGTTTCACTGCTCAGCATCTTCTCAACCAAACGGTATAAATGACCTGTCCACACCACAGCTGCCGCAGTGCATTTCCCCCTTCTTCTGGCAATCCAGCAGGCAGGATCTGGCATTACAGCTACTGAAGACCACCTGAGAGGGCAGGGGTTAAGGACAGTACACAGCAAACCTTGAGGACTTACTACAACTTTGACAAAACTTTGGTATTGAAACTGTGTGATGGTTTTGTCCGCATGGCACTAGAGGAGAAGCTCATCTCAGCAGAAGGGTGTGAGCTGGCTCTTCTGCTGCAGCACTTCCTTGCAATAAAATAGACTTGAATCACATAAAAATTGATGAGGTTTTTAAGCCCCGTGAAGCCAGAGCTGAGTGGAATGCTGGGGCTCCCTCCATCTGCTGGGTGGTATTCTGTGCACCCTGTCAGTGGCAGCAGCTGAACTCCTGGGCACAAGCTGTAGGAAGTGTTCCCAGGGCTGTAGGAAAGGGTTGCAAGAGCATCCAAGAATTTTCTCAATGTCTATCAGAAGGTGGCCCGGGTTGTTTTGCAGGCACCAGGCTCACATCACGGCAGCAAAAGGGCATTTTTAGCATCTGAGGGGACGCTTGCAGGGCCATGAGGGCAATGAGTCAGACAGCATGATGTTTTGTTAGACATGCTTTTCCAAGAAGAAACAGAAAAACACTGAAGGATCCAGCCAGATCAGTCCAGATTGCTGGTATCCATGTATGACATACAGCTGGACAGACCTTTGACATCAGCAACTCATATACTGTCATTCAGAAGAATACATGCTTAATGCTGCCAGTGACCACCCTGCTGGCCAAGTCCTGCCCTTCCCTGCCAGGCTCTGGCCAATCCTTGTAGTTTTAAAATGTAATTTATTTTTATATTTCTTTTTTCCCCTTTTGCTGTTGCTGTGTGTGGAGACTGACACGTGACAGGAGGAAATGGCTGTCAGTTCAGAGGCTGTTTGTCTGTAGGCAGTGTGCTATGGGAGAGTAGTGACACGGCAGGGAATCATTATGTTCTGGGCTTTTGTCTCTTACTTCTCCAGATAGAATGTGTTTTGAAGCTGTTAGGACAGTAAGTAAAATACTTCAGGGAAGATTGTGGTTGTCAAGACAAAGTGATTAAAGAAAAAGAAAGGATGGAGCAATTAAGTCTGACCAGCCTGTGCTGAGTTATCAACAGAGAGGTGTATCTGGAAATGAAGTGTGGAGCCCAGGGTGTGTCAGGACAATCTTTCGGTCTGAAATACCCGTTTGTGGTCTTGAGGTCTTCAAGTGCCTGTTCTCTTTCAGATGGAAATGTTGAGAAAGGTGAGGAGACTTCTTGGGAGGAGAGAGAAGAAATTGGGTTTAGAATTGTATCTATCTCACATAATGTCAGTTCTCTGAGAGTCAGGCATCGGTTGTGCAGCTTTGGGTAGTCCTTGAAGAGGTACAGAGCCCTCATGGTGTGACTGCTTTAATCTCAGGGCAGTTCCCAGGGTGGATGAGGGCCATTGGCTCCTGTGGGACCATAAACCTGGGTGAGACTGGAGGCCAAAATCTGAGATGGACTAAGTGAGGTGTGGGAATCCTGGAGTTATAATTATCCTGAGCACAGTGATTAACAGCATGCATGGAGACATGAAGAGAGAAACTACTTCCCACGCATAGGAGATAATCTTCAGCCTTAAATATCAAATTATTAGGCAGTTTTGGATTAGTTGTTTGTAACAGGCTGTCAAAGATCTCGTCTGAGCACAGCTTGAGGATGGGTATTTTTAGTGCTGTTGGGGTGTGCAGTTGAGCACCACGACTGCCTTCATGGGGGAGGAAATGGCTTTCTAGAAGGTGGGTCTAAGATTTCAACCCCAGCCGTGGGGGGCTTAGACAGCTTAAGGGCTCTTAAGGGTCTGATGTAGGAATGCAAGGAGTAGGGCGGCCTGGTGGAAAGGGGTGAGCCAAGATACTTATGACAATCAGGTTAGCTGCTCTGGTCGGTGAGACCATGTCTAGGGGAGCAGGTGAATTTTGACTGCCGATCCTGAGAACCAGGGTTAGAGCAAATTAAAGAAAGCAGTTTTCTCATTTGCCAATGATCCTCCTTCAACTACAGCTAAATATAACCCAGTGGCAGTGACAAGCTCTGAAATCCTGAATAGGGGCAGGCTTCAAGCTTCCCTGCCACCCTTCCTAATCCCTGGCTCAGGTGGCTTTCCTCTGGTTGGAATGCAGCTCCAAGAATACCACATATGTGTCGGTGAGAAAAACAGGAGGAGAGCAACAGGCAGAGGGAAGAGAGACCTCTCCAAGGATGGAGCAAGTCATAGCTGTCATCCCTGTCATCTGCTGGCACCAGTTTGAGCTGATGGAAATAGGGCTCCGTTGGATGATGGCTGTGCTACCCATGCCTTGCTACCAACAGCTTTTGGGTTCCTCAGCTGGACAGCCTGGCGCTGCAGTGCTGTGCTTCCTGAGCAGGCACCACCTCCCCTCTGCTACCATCACACACAGCCGAACAGGGGAGGAGGTTGTGTGTCCGCTCAAGGTGGGTACCGAAACACTGAGATGCAGTGATCAGATCCTGCTGAACAGTGGGCAGTGTTTTCCTCCGTCTTAATATTTGTTCTGTGCCTGCCAAGGAAAGGAAGATTTTTATAATAATGAACAAACACAGCAAAAAGACTCCTATTTTTAATCCTAAAGAGTTTTCTTTTACTATGGAGCACCACAGAGACGCTCCTTCCTCTGGTGGTCCCTTTCCAGAAGGCTCATCAATTTGTTTTTTGTACTTGGTGATGTTTCTGGCAAGTTTGGGATGGGAGTCACGTCTCCAGACAGGTTTGCTGGCATGGGAGATCTAGTATGTTGTTGGAAGGACTGGAGAGAAGCTGAAATGACTTCATCAATAATGTCTTTCACATGAAATAGCTTCCTGCTCTGCAGAGTTGTAGGCTCGAGTCAAGCAAAATCAGTTACTTGTTGTTCATCTATTTTTATTTCCTCCGTGTGGTTTGCTGCAGTCTTTTCTTTGCCCAGATGGCCGAATAAATTGCTGTCACTAAACAGGAGTCCCTGAACAGTGGTGCCCAAACTCTTCCTGTTCTTTAACTGTTTAATGAGAAAATATTTTACTTTATTTATATTCTGCACATTTGCTGGAGTTGTTTTTCAGTTTCTCTCCTGGAACCCAGAGGATTCAGAGGTATATTTCTTTGTTTCATCAGCCTTCAAGCCACGTGATCAGATGCAGCTGCAGAAGGCTCTGCATTGTCTTTGTTTAATAATGTGATGAACTTTGATCTGTACTTGTTTACTGCGAGCCCCTCTGAGGATCCAGCCATGGAACTGGAGGTACCTCAGTAAGATCCTGGGCAGCTTGGCCAGAAAATGTTTGGATTGTTATTGTGTACTCTTAAGGGGTTTTTATCTTGTTACTATCAGTTTATATCTAGCTCCATTAGCTTTCCATCTTCCAGGGGTTCTCTTGTGCTGGGCAATGTCAGAAGTTGACGCTGGCACACATTTGGTCTGGGAAAACAAACCTTGTTGACATTAGTATAAAGCTGTACTTGTCCTGTCTCGGCCATCAGGGAGGGCAGAAGGCAGTGCCAGGGCCAGCGTCACCTGCGGGGAGCTGTGAGCAAGCCTGAGCTTGGGAAGAGCCAGTCACCCATTTGAGTGTGGTGCTCAGGCTTCACGTTGGTTTGAGCCTGCATGTCTGTGCAGCAGAGACAGAGTAGGAGTTCAGCCCTGGGAGAAAGCCAAGATATTAAAGCAGACTCTTGAAGGCGCCAGCCAGAATCTCTGCATAAGGAAGCTGCTACGATGGGGATTATTTTAGTGGTGTGACACAAATGGAGTTCTGCTCCTTTTTTTTTCAACAGACTGGATTTCTCAGAATGATTTCCCAATTCAGATAATGAGGATTTTTCCTCCTGGCAGAAAGGAGGAGGGCTGTGACAGTTGTCTGGCCATTCTGGCATGTTATAATGACATTTCTGTGAATGGCATTTCCTGAAATAATTTGCCGATTTTAGATTATAACATAATAATTAGGACATACAGAAGAAGTTCAGTTTAAACACCTCAGAAAACACAGTGAAAACCATCAGTGATGGTGAACCTTACATGCTGCAGAATAATACAAACTTCTCAACTTTCTTTTCATTGTGTGAAATTAATTCCTCTGTTTTTCGGCCAGTGCCAAAGCTGTGTGAACTGGGAGCACGGCACAAATCCCACCCGCTTCCCTGCTGTGCAAAGGCACATCCAGGGGTTTCCAAAAGTTTTCCAAACTTTCTCTTTGTAGGGATTTGTGCTGGTTGAGAAAGAGAATGTGATGAGTGGGTAGGGTTGGGCTGGGAGCGGGGCTCTGCTGGGGCTCACTGTGGAGGGGAAGGGCCCTGTGGCTGGAGGGCTTTGTCCAGAGCACATCTGGAGCAGGGGCTCGCCAAGGCAAGGCTGTGGGTCCTTCACCCAGAACACACACTCCTCCTGGAGTGGTTGGCTGCTGTAATGCTGGGTTTCAATCAAAACCTGCTGTGAACATTGATCCCACTTGTGCCTCTGAAAAAGATCCAGGTGCCAAGTTACTAGTTTATTGGAAACATAAAGATAATGATCTGAAGAAGCTTTAGTCTGAGGTTTCAAAACTGTGGTTTAATGATCAGCTTACCTGAGCACAGGAATACTGATTAACTGGCTATATACTCTCTAGGCAAACAGGAAATATCTTGGGCTGTGCCTAAGGCCCACAATAATTTCCAAGGCTATGAGATAACGTGTCAAACTACTGAAAAGATCTCTATGAGGTTAGGTGATATCCAGCTTAAGCAAAGGCTGGATTTGGGAGATGGAAAAGCCAGGGTCTAAGGAGAGGGCAAGGTTTTTGGTGACCACCATCCATCATGGAAACCTGTTTGATGTGCGGCAAGGAGCATGTTGGATGCTCATGAAGGCACTGTTTCAGTCATCTTCCCTTTCCAGTTGTCCTGCCGGATTACTGCAAAGCCGATTCTTCAGGCTTTGGACAATATATGAAGATTTATTATTGCTATTAATTTATATTACTCCCTTAAACATTTTTCTGAGTTGCTGCAGGAGTGCTATGTGCATTCTTACAAAAGAGGAGACTCCTTCCCTGAAGAGCTTTCAGTACAGAAGGCAGACTGTGATTAACAGGGCAGAGAAAAAAAATCCCTCCATAGAGAAGGGAGGGCTATGTTAGGGAATTGCTAGCTGAAAAGCATGCAGGAATGCAGGCTGGTTTGCAGTAGCCCTGAATGACAGGACTGATACAGCGTCCTGGTTGTGCTCCTTCTCCTCTGCATCAGAATAGGGAGGTAATAACCTGGCGTGTCCAGCAAGCCCTGCAGTTTAAGGCATGAGCCTTAGCAACTGCTGTGCACATGAAATGGTGATGGCAATGAACAGAGCATTGCCTTCCTCCCATGTGTGGGAGCTGATGATTGGAAGGAAGCTCTTGGCTCTCATCTCTTCCCACTTCCTGCAGGGGCCTGGCAGACAGAGGTGCTCCCCTTATGCCACCCTCTGCACCCAGCATCACTTCATCTGCCTAGTGCCACCTCAAAGCTGTTTCCTACTCCCCCCACTGTCCCATTTTTGCATGC